TAAAATATTGTCTATTACAACATTGTTCCATTCCATAATTTATAGGATAACATATAATTTATTGAAATCTCGTTATTTCGTAAACTTGTGGTTTTTCAGGAACTATATTTTCAATATTTGAATAATTAATCTTTTCTAATGTTATTGTCCTATAGGGACATCAATTTTTCTTGGAGTATTTTTCTACTGGAACATATGATTGTCATTTTTTTGTCAACGAGTACATTAGGTAATTGATTTACAACTTTTTTTAAATGAATGATTTTTCAACATCTTACTCACATTAATTGCTACGAAGATCAAAGAGAGATAGAGTTTCATTCCAATAAATTTTACCTAATTTTTTTCAAGATGTAATTTTTACCCTCCAAAAGTTGGGAAATTCATTTTATCAAAATGACAATCTACAAAACGTGCAATAAATAAATCATCCATTAAAAGTTCAAAATATCTAATAATAGATAGTGAATCAAAACCCACATAAAACTCACATCTTCATTGGGAACCCATTTTAATACGTTGTGGAAGTGAAATAGAGACTTGGACAGCACAACAAAAAATTCATAGGTGAGAAATATTAGGTTCATGACCATATGCAAGTTACAATGGTGAATATTGATAATAGGCCATTGGTCTTATACAAATCAATGATTCAACATGTAATATGGCATAACTCCAAACAGAAGCTAGAGGTTTGTTTTCATAAGTATTGGTCTAGAAATAAGTTATGGACATTTAATAAACGAATCCGCTAAACTATTTTTGTGTATGGACAATCGCAATCGAATGTTCAATTACAATCCCAATTGACATAAAATAATCGTCGAATGCTTTTGATCTAAATTACCAGCATGATTCAGACGAATAGTCTTGATTAAATAATCGGAGAATTGCACTCGTAATTTTAAGATTCAAGCTAGTAGTCTAGCAAATGCTATATTCCTAAAGAAACGTAAACATATATGTGACCATCTAATAGAAGAATCAATTAACACTATAAAATAATGAAATTGTCCACATAGTAAGCGTATTAGCCACACATCTCCATGAATTCTTTTCAATAAAGTTGGAGATTCAATATTGACATTTGTAGTCGAATGTCTAATGATTAACTTGTCTTATGAACAAGTTATACATGAATAATCATTAGGTAAAAGTCTTCTATCTCTTTAATGAATGTCCATGTGAGTTATTTATTATTCGATGTATCATTACAGTTCCTGGATGTCCAAGTCGATCATGCCAAAGGATAAAAATTTTAATGTCAACAAACTTATGGTTCGCGAATATTTGATTCAACCATTTTTATAAAATGTATAATACATGCCATATGGAAGTGTATGAAGTTTTTAATTTATTTACTTCTGACCAGATACAAAAGAAGTTATACAAAGATATTCAATATTATTTTCTTGCATCGTCTCAATGTGATATGCATTACAACGAATATCTTTTAAACTAAGTAAATTTCTTTAGAATTTGCTAATTTACTAGAATAAAGTGTATCGTCAATATATAATTTTATATTATTTGGTAAAATAATA